ACCCAATAAGGTCGAGGGAAGTAGGGATGGGAGCACTGCATCTCTCTATCCAATCTTATACTGCTGGCCAGGTCGTAGCTCTTTTTATCAGCAGAAGAGAAACCAAAGTGTTAGCAAGCACATACAGTTAATGGTTCACCTTAAAGGGGTTTAATAGAAATATGCTAAATTTAAAATATTCTTTTATGCTGTCATATGGATGTCTAATTCTTTTATAAGAACTAAAATACTAACAATTAATTTATTTTTAATAGGTGCATCAACAAAGTTGATCAACAAGTCAACAACACTGCTTTACTGTATTCTGTGTGCAAAGCACTGTGCTAGAAACTCCAACAAAAGCTAATTTTGTGTCAGGTGCAGAACAAAAGTCTCCCCTATGTACTTACTGACTACCTGGCACCTAAGCTATGCTACCTACCCAGGTGGTTGACCTCTCCAGTTCCTATGTTTGCTTCATAAGAAAAGAAGTCTCTTCATCCAGCAAAAGTAAAAGCCTAAGACGTGAGCCCCTTCTGAACTGGAAGTGGGAACTAGGTAGGAGCCAGGCGATGATGAAGTAGGAAAACCTAGACAAGCTTCACGAAGAATGGACTCAACACTTTGTTTCAAATTAATTCCCAGAATATATTAAATGTCCACATTTATATTTAACTTCAAAGCAAAAAGGCTATTAGTGAATCTGTTTCTCTCTAATCCTGCGTGTGTGTATTGTGTATGTGTACTTTTGTCTAAATCAGCGGTTCTCAACCTGTGGGTCACGACCCCTTTGGCGGTCGAACGACCCTTTCACAGGGGTCGCCTAAGACCATCCTGCATATCAGATATTTACATTACGATTCATAACAGGAGCGACATTACAGTTATGAAAGAACAACGAAAATAATTTTATGGTTGGGTCACAACATGAAGAAGTATATTAAAGGGCCAGAAGGTTGAGAACTACTGGTCTAAATAGTTTGAGATCTTTGGAAGAAGATTTGCACAAAACAGGTTTATTTAACCCAAACAATCTTATATGTTAATTTCTGGTACTCTGTTTAAGATTTTCTTAAACAACATGGAATGCAATGTGAAGTTTTTTTAAAAAAAAATGTTTTTAAAAATATGTATGTAATAGTCGTGTGAATGTGAATTTATATATAAACTTTCAGAAAGAAAAACTCAAGAAGTAACAAAAGCTTTAAAACAAGGTGCCTGTCCTGACCCAGAAAAATCCCATTATCAGAATTAATCCTTAAGCAATGATCAAAGATGTGTTCAAATATGTCTGAAAAGCCTTTCTTTAGAGTTGGTTGTATAATGAAAGATTAGAAACAATCTAAATATCTACTACTTTGGGATTTTTAAACAAATTATAGCAAATAAATAGGAAAGAATATGTATATTTTAAAATAAAAGTTTAGGAGATTATTTAACACTAGAGGCCCGGTGCACAAAAATTTGTGCACTCGGAGGGGAGGGGAGTCCCTCAGCCCGGCCTGTGCCCTCTCGCAGTCTGGGACCCTTCGGGAGATAACGACCTGCTGGCTTAGGCCTGCTCCCGGGTGGCAGAGGGCAGGCCCAATCCCTAGGTGCAGCCCCGTGTTGGGCTCAGAGCAGGGCTG